CATTGCTCGTAGGTTGGAGGCCATCGCTATTCGGGTGGATCGCTACTAGGTTTATATATTAGGTTGGAATTAGGTTGGAGCGTAAGTCACTGTGGGGATTTCTGTACACGGCTCCAGTGGAGCCACTGTCGGATTTCTGAAGATCTCTGGCTCCGACCCGAGGGCGGAAACTACCAAGGCGAGCCTGGGCGTGAAAGATTCCAAAGCATTCAACACCGCCAGCCAGAGGTTTGTTGCCCTTCAAGCATTTTGTTGGCATATGTTTTGCCGTCAGCTTGGAGCTTGGGGTTCAGCCTTTCCTGGTCTTGTAGAATATGAGTGCCTTGAGCACACCCCCAAAAGAAGAGACTCCAAGAGATTCTGAAAGGACATTTTCCAGTCGGTGGGCTGTTAGGGGCTTCTTGGCACATTTGTCGCGTCCCTTTCCTGCTCTCAGCTTGATTCTTTCTTGAAGTGTTGAAGGCAAAACAGTGATCTCTTCTTTTCAAACAACGCAGAAGTTTGGTCGAAAGTTCACGCACAATCGCAACTGCAGCTTGTTGGATCCAAAGTTACTTAACAAAGAATCCGTGGCCCGCATTGCGTGTTGCCCACTAGCACAAAGTTTTATCAGCTATGGACCTCACGTCAGACATGTCGACCGTGTCTCTTCAGTGTATGTTGAAAGTGGCCTGCGCCCAGGTGAGGATAGGTCCAATGATCTATGATGATATATATATATCTTTTGTTTGTTGGAGGCCATCACTATTAGATTGGAGGCCATTGCTATTATGTTGGAGGCCATTAATATCAGGTTGGAGGCCATTGATATTAGGTTGGAGGCAATGATATCAGGTTGGAGGCCATTGCTCTTAGGTTGGAGGCCATTGCTATTAGGTAAGAGGCCATTGCCATTAGGTTAGAGGCCATCCTTACTAGGTTGGAGGCCATTGCTATCGCTATTTGGTTGGAGGCCATCCCTAGTAGGTTGGAGCCATTTCTTCTAGGTTGAAGGCCATCGCTATTTGGTTGGAGGCCCTTGCTAGCAGGTGTGAGGCCAGTGCTATTAGGTTCGAGGCCATTGCTATCAGGTTCGAGGCCATCGCTATTAGGTTGGAGGCCGTCGCTATTAGGTTGGAGGCCATTGACAATGGGTTGGAGGCCATGATATCAGGTTGGAGGCCATTGCTCTCAGGTTGGAGGCCATTGCTATTAGGTAAGAGACCATTGCGTTAGGTTGGAGGCCATCCTTATTAGGTTGGAGGCCATTGCTATCGCTATTTGGCCATTGCTATTAGGTTGGAGGCCATTGCTATTAGGTTGGAGGCAATGATATCAGGTTGGAGGCCATTGCTCTTAGGTTGGAGGCCATTGCTGTTGGGTAAGAGGCCATTGCCATTTGGTTGGAGGCCATCCTTACTAGGTTGGAGGCCATTGCTATCGCTATTTGGTTGGAGGCCATCCCTAGTAGGTTGGAGCCCATTTCTTCTAGGTTGAAGGCCATCGCTATTTGGTTGGAGGCCATTGCTAGCAGGTGTGAGGCCAGTGCTATTAGGTTCGAGGCCATTGCTATCAGGTTCGAGGCCATCGCTATTAGGTTGGAGGCCGTCGCTATTAGGTTGGAGGCCATTGACAATGGGTTGGAGGCCATGATATCAGGTTGGAGGCCATTGCTCTCAGGTCGGAGGCCATTGCTGTTAGGTTGGAGGCCGTTGCTTTTAGGTTGGAGGCCATTGCTATTAGGTTGGAGGCCATTGCTATTAGGTTGGAGGCGATTGCTATTAGGTTGGAGGCCAGTGCTATTAGGTTGGAGGCCATTGCTATTAGGTTGGAGGCCTTTGCTATCAGGTTGGAGGCCATTGTTATTAGGTTGGAGGCCATTGCTATTAGGTTGGAGGCCTTTGCTATTAGGTTGGAGGCCTTTGCTATTAGGTTGGAGGCCATTGCTATTAGGTTGGAGGCAATTGCTATTAGGTTGGAGGCCATTGCTATTAGGTTGGAGGCCATTGCTATTAGGTTGGGAGCCATTGCTATTGGGTTGGAGGCCTTTGCTATTAGGTTGGAGGCCATTGCAATTAGGTTGGAGGCCTTCTGCTATTAGGTTGGAGGCCATTGCTATTAGGTTGGGCCATTGCTATTAGGTCGGAGGCCTTTGCTATCAGGTTGGAGGCCATTGTTATTCGTTTTTGAACATGTTTGAAGTTTGAAGAGGCTACTTACGTTGTACCCAGTTTTGCTCGCCAGGTGGTTTGGTGACAAGGATCAGCACTTCAAGCTCGTCTGATCCGACAAGAATCACAGAAGGAGTCAAAGCCCAGATGCAGCAGAAGCACGACCAGGTGAGCGGGTGTTCCTAGCATGGCCAAACACTATAGGATGCCTTTTATTAAAATGATTATATATATATATATTATAGTAATATATATATATATATCAACGCGTTTAAATTTTGTAATTTGTAGCAATATTCCAGGGTTCTTGTTCCACGGCTGCTCAGGTGGCGGAGAAACTGGGCAAGATGAGAATCGTGACGCCTGAGGTGTTGCGGGTCACGAAGATCTCTTCTTCACCTTCTGGAGCCATTCTTTTGGGGACACTGGAAGAAGATCATGACTCTCTCGTGCCTCTACAACGGGCTTGTGGCGGTACTCGGCAGTTTCACCGCTGTGCTGATGCTTCTCTTTGGCTTTGCAGGTCTCCCTGCTTGGTACAGGATTGACGAGGGCCGAGGTCATGCGCGCTGGTCCCTGTGCTCGGGGGTGATTGCGTTGGCGATGATTTTGGCGACCTCAAACTCAGTTCTTCCACCGGATATGCATTCATAAAGCAGACATTCAGTTGAAGACGCTTGGGGGCTGCTGAAGAGCTCAGATTCGATGCTGATCCTTTGGGATCCTACTTGGACAGAGCGGATGCGGTGCTTATTTGAGTTGGCAGGATGGGAAACAGCACTTAATCATCACATCCGCCTGTTTCAATTGCCATTTTCTTTACTGCCTCCGTGACCACCTTTGACTGTCGTGGGGGGATCTCCTGATGGACTTCTCGTGTATGTCGCGTCTTCGAGGACACCGTGCGGTCGGTGCTTGACGTGAGCGACCTTGAAAGAGTTTTCACGTCGAGGTGTTTCATGGACGCCTACTTCATGGTGCACGAAAGCAAAGGGCATTTGAAAGCGAATTGGCTACTCATTGGCTTGAGCATTTGGCTGAGCCTCATAGATCAAAGACTTGGCCGGACGCATGCCAGGTTGGGAAATCCATGCTTGGAATTTGCGAAGAATTTGGGACCTTCCTGGTAGGATCTGTTCCTGCTGCGACCATTGCAGGCAGTTTTCTTTTTCAGATTAGCAGACTTGAGCGCGCCGGAGTGTTTTTCGGCTGCATGCTGCTAATTCAACTGGTCTCTTAGTGCATCACTTTTGGCTTCAAAACAGTTCTGAAGCCTTAGAATAGAAGCCGTACGGGATGGTTAAAGCCCAATCAGCCCTGTAAAGCCTTTTGACATACAGATATAATGTGTAGCCGTGTAGCCCATTACCAGTAGCAGTCGGCAAAAGACTATCACTATCTTTGAGAAAGGCCTTTACTGAACGAGGATCACAGTTTCACCTGCAGTGGCTCAACGAGTCAAGCACCAAACTGCCGCAAGCAAGTATGCTGCAAAAACGTGCTCAAAGGTCGTGCCGAACCTTTTTCAGCGAAAAGTCTCTGAACGACAAAACGCTATATTCCACACCCTCAAACATGATTCACAAGGATTTGTAATATTTCGTCAATGTGAATGGATTTGAACAATTAAACATAAATAGAAAGACATGGACAGAATGAGATTAGATTAGTGAAAGGACTGTGACGTGTTCGAAGGATACAGCAACTTCAAGACTGCAGCTGCAGCCAAAGCTGCTTTGCAGATGTTCCAGGCCGATCGTCGATTCGTGGGATTTGGCAGTGGCTTGGGACATTCAGGGGAGTTCAGGGGAGCGGAGGAGTTCCCAAAGGTTTTTTCACTTCGCTTTCTTGTCCAATCCTTTCCTTACAGTTTCTCCTGAACCGGTCTGAACCCAATTTTCAGAGCATTTTCAGCGCCCAGGGCCCTGGCAACGAGGAACGCCGACGCGCAGAAGAGGCGGCCAAGGCCAACGCTCGGAGGCGTGCAGCAGCCTGTTGCACCTGACACGTTTGCATCTGAATGCTTCTCATACTTTTGTTGATTGCACCCCAACTTTGAAGCTTACGATTCTTCAGCCATAGTCAAGATTTCGGAGCAGGTCCCGGAGCAGGTTTCGGGGGTTGCGGAGCAAGTTTCGGAGCAGGCCCCAAACCACGTTCCGGAGCAAGTTCCCATGCAATGTCTCTCTGATGCGCTGAGGTGTTGCCACGGCGAAGCCCTGACATGGTAACGATACCATAGTATGAAGCAGACTGTTGTCAGATTAGCTCGGTGTCATGCCGACATGTTGTCAGGCTGTCGTGCAGATATGTTATCATGCTGGCGCACTGGCGTGGGGCGTGGGGCGTGGGGCATACGCCCATGGATTGCCGTGTTGGTATGCTCGCGTCGCGCACCCTAAGAGGCCCACACTTGTGAAAATAGCTTTCACTCATAAAGACACAGCACCTGTTGGTGAAAATGGCGCCATTGTTTTGCAGCCTTGCACATGCCCAGACCAGCTGCGAGGGCTTTTCTGAGGTCTTTTCATTGGTTGATTGAGATTTGTTGCTAGTTTGAGGTGAGCAAATAGAATCGGCCAATGCGCGGGTGCCGCCGAATAGTTCGCCTTTGGTGCCGATGCATCAGGAAAACCAAGACTTCGAGGCAACGGGGTGTTTTGAACAAGTCAACCCTTCACAATCAGAAGGAAAAAATCAAAGCTCACACTTGTCCCAACGCGCGAGCGAAAGCCATGTGCACGTCATAGCCTATTAATGTACCTCAAGGCAGTCCAGAACTTGTAAGCAGCAAGCAACAGTCGTTCTGAAGGGCAAAGACACTGAAAGAGGTGTGGAAGCAAGTTCGCCTGGCCTGAACCTACCTATTTCACACAAAAATGGCCGAAATGGTCCTACAGGCCGTTTGAAGCCGACTGAAAGAGGTGCGAGGTGCGCCCTGGTAACCAGCCGCCCAGAGGTGGGGCCTCCGGGTAAAGGCCACGTGACAGCTTGGAAGCCAGCCACCCGGCTGGCCAGCCATCCCGGTCTGGAGCATTGCACAGCGTGCTGCATCCTTGGAAATAGTTGTCAGGGGTGATGGTAGAGGCCCAACGAAGCGTGGCAAGGGCTGCCGCAAACATTCTTCTGCCCCCCGCTTGGCGTGAGCTGGGTCGGGGTCGACGGATTGACTTACAGGTTTGTGGGTCTGAATGGGCTTTAAACTGTTCATTAGCGGCGACCTGGCTCGATCTGACGACTGCCACAAGAGCGAGTCGTGACCCACAAGACTCAAGTCCAGCAGCTCAAACTGCGACATGAGGCTGATGAATGCACCTTTGCCAAAGGCTGGGAACTGTGAGGGAAGGCAAGCTCCTTGCCAAAGATACATGATACTTTGGCCCAGAAAGGAAAGGAAAAGGAAGGAAGAAAAGGACACAGGAAAAACGTCTAAAGAGAAGAACAACAACAACAATAACTAAGTTGTGGACTTGTGGATCGTAACTGGTAATTGAGGGTTCAATCCGGACATGACATGGACAAAAGACCACGTGGTTGCCCGTTAGGCCGAACATCCTCCCCCATGTAGAGCCAAGCATGCTCAGGGCCGGAACACGGGATGAACCAACCTGAATTTAAATTCATATACAAGTTTTCAAGAGCAGAATAGAAGCTACTAGGGGCTCCTGGCCTTACTACTAGGAGCAAGGGCCTTACTACTAGGAACAAGCAGCTAGTAGAAACAAAAAGAATTTAAGTTGAATTGAAATTCAGGTTTGTTTTATAAATCACGCTATTTCAATCCATCTGGATCCACTAGACTCTCAATAGTAACAAAGGACGCTACTAGTAACAAAGGGCATCGCTACTACCAGCCAGAAGCTACTAGTAGTTCCTTCATTACTACTAGTAGCAAGAAGCTACAAGTAACAAGTAATTGCAATCTTTTGACCCCTTTGATTTGCCCGGACTTCTTTGGCCATTGTAATGCAGGCTGGTGCCGACGCGCAGTCGAGGCCAAACGAGGAGCCTAGAAATGAGATGCCCAGGCAGCAATGCTGAAGAGTATGACGCATGCTTTGGAATTCCGAAACAGTTCTTTGTTACTAGTAGTAATGCACTTGTTACTAGTACATTCTAGCTACTAGTAGTAATGCCCTTGTTACTAGTAGCAATGCCCTTGTTGCTGGTAGTTTCCTCCTTACTTGACCCTGTGCGTTTTGCTGTGCATGGACTAGGAGACTAGTGGTGGGGCTTTAACAGTTGGCCCGTGTAGCTCAACGAAACCTGTTGCATGATAGGGCAGTTGCATTTGCAGTTATTTCTTGTGCGGTGCCATCTCAGGCTGGAAAAGCCTCATGCCCCTGTCGCCAAGGTGATGATGCCGATGAACAATCCTAACTGTTGTCCCTTTGGAACGCTTTTCTTGAGAACAGTCGAGCTTCTGTAGCTTCAGGGGATCTTGAAAATAGAACATGAGTCGCAAAGACCCAACATGAAAAGCCGAAGATTTGATGGTTGCAGCTCCCGAGTGCTTAACAGGCAGAGACCTTCGACGGTAGGCCGAGCCCAAACATGTCAGGCCGGAAGAAGCTTGAGGCAATGTAACAATGCTGTATTTCAGTTCGTGTTCTGGTAGGGAAGAGGACAATAGTTTGGAGCTTGATATTCTGGATGGGTATATTGGGGAGGTGGATGGATGGTGAAGTTGCCAGCACAAAATCCAATTTCTTATTTACTGCCGCTTGATAACGTTCGTTTGTCATTGTCTAATGCAAGTCATCAGCGCAATGCTACTCTTGTTCTTCCCCTCCACTGAACCAGGTGGTGGCTCTTCACGCCTCTCGGCGGTGGGGGAGGATGGCTTGGTAGAGTGTTTGTTGATATCCGTTCACCGTTAGCTTCAGACAACTTCTGTTACCGTTGTTTATCATTCATATTTGTTTTTAAGCATCCTCAAAAGGACAAAAGCTGTCTTTTCTTGAGCCAAAGCACCAAGTTGGTATGTTTTCATGGGAGGGCATGTAGCCTCACTCCCCCTAATGGCGTTGCCATTACGCTTTTCGGTAGTCCTTGGGCAGGTTTTTTCGTCCACCCTCGGACACCAACTCAAAACTATCATCCGACTCAGCTTCAGGTTCACTTTCATGTCCAGGTGGAAGTAGTGCAGGAGTTTCGATGCCCATCCACACCGGAAACTGGTCAGCTTCAGGCGGTAGGTGGTCCTGAGACCCTTGTGCTCGATTTCTTGCCTCCTGACCAGGATCTAAATCAATCTCGCCTCGTCGGCCACACCCAAACAAACGCAGGTCATAGCCAGTCATCTTACCACCCTCGATGGATTCAGTGTCACACGCACTGATTCCCGCCCCATCGTAGGTGATGCCGCCCTCGACCGTCATGTGATTCTCCTGCTCCAAGGCCTTCTGACCTCGTTGCTTTGCCCTTGAACTCACTGGATTTGATCCCCCATAACCTTGAGCCGGTGCCACCGACCCAGCAGGAGGAAGCGGACCAGGCTGAAAGTCACGCCGGCCCTGTGTGCCGATGCCTCCCTCTTGCGATGCTCCGAACTTCACATAGAAGAAAGCATATCCGCACCACTCATAGTGCCCCTCCAAATCCGAATTTCTGTTCTCTATCCAGTCGTCCGTCACCAGGGTCCTTTTCCACACTTCTCGAGGATTGCCCCGAGAAAAGGCCACAGTGACCCGAGTTGCCGAGAGTCTCCCTATGGACATAGGTGTGCCCCGATGAAGTGGATGGAAGGATCTGACTCTCGACTTCTTCAAAACTCTGACCCACCACTCTCCGCCGCCCAAGCCAACGCCAAGGCACTCCCACCTGTCGTTCCCCGTTGGTGGAGTCTGGAATCTGTTGAGCTCCCACGGCAGGTCGGTGCCCAAGCCCACATGAGTGATTGGCGATCTCAAAGTGCTAAGCTTGGGAGGCGGCTGCATCCATGGCTTCAATTCGCGCTCGCGTCCGCGGGAGCCCTCAGGGCTACAGTCGCGTCCCGGTTGGGAGACAGGTTCATCTTCCCTTGTCTCATCTTGATCCTTTCTTGTTTCGACATTGCTCTTTCCGGATGCCTTTGTCCGAGCCGATGCCGCGTCCTCAAATCTTGACAGGTCTTCTCCCCCCTTCCTACCCATCAATACAGCTACACTTGACACTACTGCTGCTAAGGTGAGACACTTAGCCACCAGGTTCTCCTTGGGGGTGATGAGAATACAAAAGACCATGCTCCGGGGTGCCACTTAAGAAACCCAGGACTTGCGCTCCATACTTCTGAATTCTCACCGGGCAGCGAGCCACGTGTCTTCCAAGCCACGACACTGCATAGGCTATATCCACTCTCGTCCGAACCGCCAGCCAGAGCAGCTCGCCCACCAAAGTCTGCGCGCGTCGCACCTCCTGGATATCAGGATTAGGCCATCAGAGTCGTCAAGGCTACCAGGAAGTGGACTTGCCGCATACTTCAAATCTGAGTACCTGCCTGGCCAAGAGATCCTTGAGGTAGGCATTCTGGTGAAGACGAATTCCTTGAGGTTCTTGAGAGATTTCAAAGCCACAAAATCTCAAACCGTGGTCTCGGCTCAGCCACTCAGGAGAAGAGCGTTTCCACTGTTCTTGAAATCGTCGAAGTGGGGCTTGAGTGACACTATCTTCACCTGTGATCAGAATTTCGTCGACGTAGACGGCCACAAAGGCATAGACCTTGTCTGCGCATCCAGAACCACCTTCCATAGGTTTGGCTCTTGAGTTCTTGCCAGGCGCCAGCCCACACCATTGTCTGTCCACCTGAATCGAGCCATTTCCTCGTCCCGAAAGATCGCCCAGTTGATTGGGGCTTCTTGAAGGCCGTAAAGGGAGTTTTTTACCTCCCATATTTCCCCTTGCTTGCACGCTCCAGCTTCAATCAATACCCTTGGGGGTCGAGTGATGAGCTTCCTTCTCCCCCTCCCGACTCCCTGATGCCTGCGAACTCCTCAAGGAAACCGGGCTCGGTTGGGATGTAGTCGTAGTAGCTACTTCTGAACCCTTTGATGCATCAGAGTCCTCCGTGCTCTTCACCGGCGACTCCTTGTTGGGCGAGGCATTCTTCACCTTCGCCACCTTCTTTGGATCCTTCTGATCTTTGTCTTTGCGAGTTGGGCACTCCCTTGACATGTGCCCTTCCCCACTACAGACATAGCACCTGTTCTGTTTGTTGATGCCCTCCCAGGAATGTCCATAGGCGCACTGATCACCCCGTCAACAGCCCTGAGTCGAGCCCCAAAACCTGCGCGGAGTTTTTGGCTTTTCCTCCGTCGATCCTGCTGAATTGAAAGCTGCCACCTTCGGAGCGGTCCCCCCCGTTGCTGAGGCAGTGTTGACATTCAGACTTGTTGTGTTTCCCCTCGATGAGCCCACCACCAGAGCCAGATCCTCAGCTTCAGCCTGGACATACTCCGCATACTCCATGATGGATTCCATCGTTGGGCACTGATCCACAGCCAGGTCTTGCCTTGCTGCAGCCATCCTGAACGAGACCTGAGCTCCTCCTTGTCGACCCAGGGCTTCGGTTACTCGATTGAGCACTTGCACAAAACCAGCGGATCCGGAGTTGCAAGACCCAACTCCTGAGCACGTTGAATCCAGCGCCTCCATTGGCGAATCCCTGACAGGACGTCCGCCACCCCATGACCCACCTTCAGGTCGGTGATGCTCTTCAAAAGTGCAGTTCGTTCGGCCGACCCTCCTGGTTGAAAGATGGTATACAGCCGAAAAAGGATTCCCAAACGGCTGACTCAGCTGACCTTCCTGGAGGCAATGACATCCTTTCTGACTTGGTCCGGAAGAACCCCCAACAAAATGGTCACTCCACGATGCTCTACCCTCTCAAAGCTCGGATCCACAGGGCGCTCCACCTTGAGTCTCAACCGTTCGAGCGGTTTCAACTTCAGCCAAGTCTCATAGAGGGCCCCCGCTTCGATGACATTCGCTCGCCACCACCCTCTCGCCAACGCCGAGAGGTCCGACATGAGAGGCATAGCAACCGTCAGCCAATCTCCAAACGCCAATGACGCCCCATCACTCCCCGGCAGAGGAAGCGAGGGCAACTCCAAGCTCCGAAACACTTCATTCACAGCTCTGCCGGTTTGTTCGGCCGTGGTTGGGGGACCCTGACCTATTCCTCCTCCCTGCAACCCTGGTGGACAGTCAAGACCATGTACTTGTGAGCCTCCTTGATCCTGTGGTAGAGGGTGTCCATGGGCCTCCAACCCAACTCCAGAGCGCAGCGCATCGACCCGGGGTTGCCCTTGCTCCCGACCAGCGCTAGGGACCGATTCGAACGAAGACGATTCGCCACCCCCCGTGATCTTCTTGATCTCTCTTGCAAACAGAGTCTCTGCCTCCTTGAGGACCTTTTCCCTGATCGCCTCCACTTCGAGGTGGGTTGGAGATCTTCGAACATCACCTTGGAGGTACTGGATCATGTCCTGACCTGCTCCCAGCCGCACCCAGCGGAGCCTGTGTGCTCCAGAAGGGATTGATCTCTGTCCCTCTTGCCTGTGGCGGTGTGGTCATGGAATAGGGATCGAGCGCCCTTGGTTGCGGCCCAGACTCCATCCCAGGCCCATAGCTAGTCGGCCTTCCTTGTGGTGGAAGAGGATGTTGTGGGGATGCAACCATGCTTCCATGCCCTCCATGAACATCAGAAACACTACCGGCAAGGTGTCCAAGATCGTGGGGATGCAAAAGAGGAGCTAATAGACCCTGGTTTTGAGGGTTGCCACCAAATGCTCGTTGCAACACTTCCAGCGATTGTCGAACTGAGTCCAGCAGACCAGGCACCGATTCACTCGATACCTGCCCTGCCCCCGTCTCCCTGCCCATGGCACGACCTTCTGGCTCTCTGCTTGTCCTTCTCACCGAGGAACCTGCCATCGCCTGGGTCGCCTGGCCTGGAGCCGCTGCCAACCTTCGAACCGCCGCTGTAGTCGCCGGCACCGATGCCGCCCTACCTTCACGATCTTCTTCCAGCAGCCTTTCCAGCCGCTCTTCTGCCGCGCCAACCCGCAGCACCCCTGGTCGATCACCAGGGTCCACCAGCCACTCAGCTTCTCGGGAGCGACGGCGGCGCGATTGAAATGCCATGGGGACCAGCAACTTCCAAATGGAAGGTGGACTTCCTGGCTACCTGCTTGGGCTCATAACCTAAGCATCCTCAAAAGGACAAAAGCTGTCTTTTCTTGAGCCAAAGCACCAAGTTGGTATGTTTTCATGGGAGGGCATGTAGCCTCAGTTTTAGACCATCTTTTATCTAGATGAAACAAGTAAAAAGGTACCCGGTTCGGTGACAAGGCGAGCATGTGCCAAACCAATCGATGTGAATGACTTGATTTCTTTGTATTGGAGTCTGAGAGCCAGCTTTCTTGTTTTGCATTTTCAAGGTTTGGCCACAAGCAAGCTGCACTCCAAAAATGTTGATGACACTCTGCAGACCTTTTTTTTGCGTGATCAAGCTTCCTGCACTGTCCCTCATCGAATGTTTGAAGTAAAGCATGGGGGGTTCTGGGTGAGATTCTTACTGTATGGGTTCTTTAACACGTTGGTTGCTTTCTCATCTACAATTCTTCTCCGTCTTCCTTGTTCCTCAGGCTACACAGGAGTTCTGAAGGCGAGTCAACGGGATCCGCCCGTCTGAAAGATCTAAAGATTCTGATCAGGAGTTCTGAACTTGGAAACTGGACACACAATTCCTATACTAAACTCGATTCGGTGCCCATTCTCTCTCACACTAGTCTCCAGGAGTAGCAGTCAACGTAACAATTTTAGACGCGACCCTAGCCGGAAGAGCAGAGGAGATCACCTCTTGCATGAGATACCCTCAGTCACGATATCGTTAGACCGTTTGCAAGAACGAGAGTGAATGAGCTTCAAACCTCCACTACTACTCCGTTGTTTTGCCATTCGATTTGGAAGCTAGTTGACGACCAGTGGAGGTTTTCAAGCAAGAGAGTGGTTATGGCTTCATCGACTGCGAGGAGAGTCTTCTTCCCAAGCACTTCTTTGGGAAAAAAGAACAATACATTTCTCTCAATGCATCAATTTGTTTCTTCAATGTGTTCAATGCGTTTTCACAAGGAATTTCTTTTGAACGCCACAGAGGGTTGCCGGCAGAGTGGAACGTTTGCATATCGCTGTCCAGCAATCCAATAAACATACGATGTATATAATACATAATATATGTACATATGTATACAAATATCTTATACATTATGTATAAATTCGGTATAATTACGGACCTACACACATGGAAGCAAGAACAACACAAGACTTTCAGCGCTGTACAGCCACAGTAACCAGTCAGCCGAAATAACATCCCATGTTTTGCGAGGAGCTGAAAAAGCTCTACGGCCAACCTCACCATGTTTGCACGAATGCCACAAAATGACCACAACGAGCGTGTCTCAACATGTCTCAAGTGCTGGTGAGTGAATAGCCTGGCTACTTCTACATCTCAAGTGTGGTGCAAGAAAGATAGGAACGACCTCGGAGAGGATGGGACGAAATGAGAAGCTTCAAGGGCAACCAAGGCGAACATTTGAATGCACCAAAAATAGACCTGACAAAGAGAAAGTTACCATGTTCTCATCAACGCAATTGCCATGTGCCAAAAGAATGAACGTGGAAGTTCTCCCAAGACCGAGATAAGCATTTGTACGAGATGTCAACGTACGTGAACACTGTCAAGCCACTCGCTTTCTTTACATACCTCGCGCCGTTTCTTGGGTCCGAAGATTGTGATCGCCATGGCAGAGCCTTGCTGTGCCTTGAAGGCTGGGAACTCGTTTCTGAGCTCCATGTGGCCCAAGTGCAGCATGTGCAAAGCGTTGCTATTAGGTTGGAGGCCATCGCTAGTAGGTTGAAGGCCATCGCTAGTAGGTTGGAGGCCATTGCTATTAGGTTTCTTTTGGTATTAGGTTGGATGCCATCACTTCTAGATTGGAGGCCTTTGCTTGTAGGTTGGAGGCCATCGATTCTGGTTTAAACGCCATTGCTATTAGGTTTGAGGCCACTACTTCTAGGTTTGAGGCCATTGCTTGTAGGTTGGAGGC